CCAAATGTTTTCTGAGTTCTTTAAAAGTTGGAGATATGACATTTCTTTACCAGTCCCGACTTCGCCCTGCGTTTAAGAGAGCTATGTGCCCTATTGAAATTTCATTTGTTGTTCTAGTTTATTTTCTGCCCTTAAAAAAAAAAGTAAAATGTTTTCAAGCACTAGATTTTGATCCCATTTCCCCTTCCCCAATTCCTCCCAGATCTTCCCCGATTTCTGCCCATTTAACAACAACAATAAAAAAATATCCAAGGTTAAATGGTGGTTCCCATGCTGTCACCTAAGTATTCTTTTCTGGAAACATTCCTGCATACCTCCATGTTTCATAAAAATTGATATTTTTGAAGAGTATGGACCAATTCCTGAATAACCACTCAGAGGCTTATATTAATTATATATATTTGGCTGGTGGCTCAGGCATATTACTAGACTAGCTCTTCCATTTAAATTAACCCATTTCTATCTATATATCACCATTTGGCCCATGACTTACCAGTTCTTTCACTTCTTGCTTCTTGGGCAGCTTGCAGCCTCTGGCCCAACTCTGCCTTTCCTCTTCCCAAAATTCTCCTAGTCTGGCTTTCGCGCTCAATCTCTTCCTGCCCAGCCATTGGCCAATCGGTTTTATTATTAACAATGAGCATAATCCACAGTATTTCCCCTTTTTTGTCTAATTAAAAAGGAAGGTTTTAACATTAACATAGTAAAATTATATACAACAAAACAGTTATTAAGTAAGGATTACAGTAACACTATCTAATCCATTTGCATTTAGCAAAATTAGAGAAAATACTTAATTATCTATTTTATCTTGGTGAGTCTAAAGTTTTGTATCTAGTTTATCTTTTATTATAACTAAGGAAAAGCATAATTACAGCCATTTAGTCTTCAACTCCATCAAAGACCCCAGAAGGATATAATATTACCTGAGTAAACAGGAAGTGCATTGTAAACAACTTTTAAAATGCTAGAAATGACAGACATGTCTGCCTGCCTGGACAGTCACCCAAAATTCTTCTGTAATGTTGGGGCATCCATCTTCAGGCCTAGAGTATCTGGCAGACTTTTCAGTGAAGCAGGAAATTTGAAGGACTGTCCTGCCTATATTGACAAAGTTTATCAGTCACTTTCCTCTGTGTCCTGAAGAATGTCTGGCAGTTTCTTCTGTGAAGCAGGAACCTGAAGGACCATCCTGAATTGTTTTGGCAAAGCTTAGTGGTCACTTTCCTGCATGTCCAGTTTATACAGTATACTGTCAAGCAGTCCAGGCAATAGCAGTTTCTTACCCAAATTGCTAGCAAATTGGGCTTGCCACATTGAAAGCAGACTCCATAAGGAGTTTCTTCAATACCTGTCATCCTCTTTGAAGTAATCGGTGCTGCCAGGAACAGACATGTCTCACTGTCAAGAGAAGTATAAGTTCTTAAAACATTTTAAATGCCATATTCTGCAAGTCTTTGAAATGTTTGAAGATTACCTATTTAATTGAAATGTATCTTTGTATACCTAGAAAACCTAACTAATATGGCTATAAGTTTGACTATTATAGATGACTACTAATCTGTATTTTTTAATTATACATTTTTAAATTAGCTGCATAAACATAATACCTTAAACAAGAGTAGAAATATACATACAGTATAACATAATTGATCTTAAATTTGTATCAATAGATCAAAATCCATACCAATGTAAAATATTTTGAGATTAACAGTTATTTTTGGATTAAAGTAGATTCAATAAACTACCTTTTTTCATCATAATAATCTACCCCTTTCCTGATCATTTTTATATTATATCTTCCTTTCTTCTTTAGAAAGAGATTGACTATGACCATTGACAATTTATAACCAAACCCTCTTAAATGAAAACAAACATTCATAAACAATATTTTGGGAATTTGGGCATAGTTTTCTAGACTACATCCTGTTGATTGGGGGCACTGGTAATCTTATGTAGACCCTGAGAAAACTGAATTATGGTCAAGTCCTGACTGGGGTATTTTGTGTAGCTGGTCCTTCTCAGCATCAGCCTTGAAGCTGTTCGGATATAGAACTTAGAGGAAACTGTAACAGAGGTGTATTGAAACATTGGCTCATCTGGGCCATCCATTTTTATTGGTGTCTGGTTCCCTTGTTCTGAAAATATATAAACTTTTAAAGGTAATATATATATATATATATATATATATATATATATATATATATATATAAATACAAATATAAACTGTGCATTGTATCATTGTATACAAGCCAGTCAAAGATAATTTTTTGTTTTATGTTTGGGGAGGTAAATATATAACATGTGTCTTGTAGTTACTTTAGGTTTATTTTCTCATGTCTGCAGTTAGGATTTCATGGGGTCTTCCTAGATCAAACCTGATTTTTCTTAATCCAGAATGAACCCACAGTCTCTCATTTCCTGCTGAAACAAAAACATAAGCTTTCCTCCAAAGTGACATACATACCTTTTGACTTAAATTTTGGAGTCAAGGTATTTTTTAAATATATAGGTTGGTTTAGTCTAACAGCTTCCATAATCAAATGTCTCATAGCAGTCAAGTTTTAAAGACAACACAATTAGATACATAACCCAGACTCTGTGCATTTTCCGCCCTTATGTGGCTTATCATAATTTTTTTATTACTCTACTCCTCTCTCAAGGACTTTATTAAGATTATTTTTTAAATTTATGTCTGTCTATACCCCTTTTCCTCTCTCCTGCAAGCCTATGCACATCTCTGACCTGTTTAGAGGTTTTTTTTTTTTCCATCTGAACCTGTCTTTACTGTGTTTCTGTAATCCTGTGTGTCTGTAAGCAATAGCTAGACCTGCCACACTGTGCACACTGCCCAGCTTGGAGACCCCTCTGTGTACTGTGGCAGGAATCTGCCATGCTATAGCTCAAGCCCAAATACTGCAGCATCTCTTTACCATGGACTGCATGAGAGACACAATTAGGAAGCTGTTTTTGGCTTCATTTATGTGTTCTAAAAAAGACCTTCCCCCTCCCTTTTTTTAAGTTTCTCAGGCTTTATGTGGATATATGGGCCCCAATGTTGGCCACTATATATAAATAGAGGCTTCTCTCCCACCTGCCAGTTCCCAAATAACCAGCTTTTTCTGTCCTGCCCAGTCTCTTAGCCATTTCCAAATAATCACTCAGAGGCTTATATTAATTATAAATGTTTGGTTGATGGCTCAGGCATATTGTTAGTTAGCTCTTACATTTAAATTAACCCATTTCTATTAATCTATGTATTGCCATGTGGCCTGTGACTTACTGATTCTTTTACATCTTGCTTCTTGGGTGGCTGGCAGTGTCTGCCCAGACTCTGCCTTCCCTCTTCCCAGAATTCTCCTAGTCCTGCTCTTGTGCTCAATCTCTTCCTGCCTAGCCATCAGCAATCAGGTTTATCATTAACAATGAGCATAATCCACAGCCTAGGGGAGACAAAAGGACAAAGGGAAAATAGCATAAGGAAGCTCAGGTCTTTTAAGGACATAAGCACTCCTTTAGTGGACCTGTGTGGGAAGCATCCCAGGAGCCTTAGTGTTGATACAGTGGAAGAAACCTATCTGCAGCCTCAGGGTGTTTAAACACAAAGAGGCTTTCTTATCCCAGGAGATACAGTCACCAAGAAACGATTTTAGTTTTCTTGGTTGCCTCAAAGCTAACTTCTTTCTGAGACTGCTCAAGGTGACATTCACTATTGAACTCATGGCTATCAGCCTGTTAAAACCTTTTATCTCTATTTTTTTTTCCGAGACAGGGTTTCTCTGTGTAGTTTTTGATGCCTGTCCTGTCTGGATATCGCTCTGTAAACCAGGCTGGCCTCAAACTCACAGAGATGTGCCTGGCTCTGCCTCCCGCGTGCTAGGATTAAAGGTGTGTGCCACCACCACCCGGCCCTTTTATCTCTAAAATTGAAGTTGTGTACTGAAATCTGGTGTCCAGGTTATATAATAACTTTTCAGGCTATAAGAAACAGGAATGGTTTACCTTCTACCAGCCTCTTCTTCCAATGTCACTATTCACATCTATCTTCCACTATGGTGATATTTTATTTGTACTGAAATGTGATTTTATTTGTATGTTAATAAATAAAGTTGCCTGGGGGTCAGAGCTAATAACAAGCCATAGCAGAAGCCGGGCAGTGGTGGCGCACACCTTTAATCCAGATCACATGACAGATAGATCTCTGTGTGTTCAAGGATACAGCCAGCATGGAGACACATGCCTCTAATCTCAATACCAACCATAGAAGACCTGGAGGTCTGTATAGACAGGCAGTGATAAGGAGGTCATGTACTTGGGTTTACAACCAATGAGAAGGCAGAACAGAAAGTCAATAAAAAGACAGATACACAGGAAGTAGGTCTCTTGCTGAGGGGAAGGACGACAGCAGCAGTGAAGGGTAAGAAAGACGGTTTTAAGTCTCAGCTGTCAGTTACTGCTCTGACCTCTTGGGCTTTTAACTCTGCATTTGGCTCTGTGTTTCTTATTTAATAAGACCCTTACACCTGCATTCCACTTAATATTACCAGGGTAGAAGCCTCTACACCGTTTATACACTTTGGCCATTTTAAAAAGTATACCATATTATTAGGCCTTTCAATGTCTAAAACAAATTGAATATGTATGTTAATGGATACAATCTAAAAGGCATAGTTTTAAACACTGTGGATATAGAATGAACAAAATCACTTTCAACAAGGCTGCTTGGAATAAAATGGGGGAAGTGAAAGGGCAAGTGAGGCTTAAGTCTTCAAGTGATCATTGTTCTTCAAGGCTGAAATAATTCCACCAATTACAAAACCCTACAGGTCATCCAAACTAATGAAAACGTGGTTCAAGTAAACCTCACTCACAAGTTTCAATATAATTGTCAAAATGTGATGCCAAGGAACTTAGAAACTGCTTTAGGTATGGGGACTAGCAGCGTGAAGAAAGGAATGCTTTTGGGAAAAGACACATAACTTTTTCTTCTTATTTCATAGTTATATATCTTCAGGATGATCTACCTAGAAGATGGCTCTGGGCAAGCAGAAGTTTTCTCTCAATGTGTGACACACTGCAGTTTTCCGCAATGGTGGCACCAAGCGTTTTACAACTTCTTCACCTTCAGCTGCCTCTTCATTTTCCCCCTTCTCATCACGCTGATCTGCAACACCAAAATCATCTTCACCCTCACACGGGTCCTTCATCGGAATCCACGCAGTACGTATTCCTAAGATTTTAATAATAACTGTAGACATACGATATTTTTAACTTTTATTGATTCTTTGTGGATGTCACACCATGCATTCTGATCCCACTTACCTCCCTGTCCCCTCACATTCACCTCTGCTCTTGCAACCTCCCCCACCAAAAAAAAAAAAAAAAAAAAAAAACAAGACAAAACCGAGAGAGAGAGAGAGAGAGAGAGAGAGAGAGAGAGAGAGAGAGAGAGAGAGAGAGAGAGAGAGAAGAATCTTGTTGTGGAAGCAGTAGTGTGGCCCATTGAATCACACAGTTTACCTTTAGTCCATTCATCTTTACTTGAAAGTGTTTGTTGCTATGAGGCATTGGTTTGTCTGGAGGCCTCTGACTTCTAAGCCACTGAAAATGGGCTCTCACTGGGGCTCCTCTTGGATATCCTGCTATTGTCCTGTGTCATGGAGTTTCTGCTGCTTTGGATCTGTAGGTTCATCCCTGTACATGCTTCAACAGTTAATAAATGAGGTGGATGTTAGGGTGGGCCAACTCATAGCCCTGGTTCTGGGTCTGGGTGGTAGCTGGGTTGGTCAGCCCACCAGCATTCCCTCATCACTATGCAGGAGAGCTCTCCATCACTGCCTAGGCTAGCTCACCCAAAATAGCCTACAGTAAGGAGCGGGGGGGGGGGGGGGGGAGGGGGGCAGCTTTCTTGCTTTCAGGTCTCCAGTTCCAGCCTACTCACACTCAAATCACCAGCGACACCTCTGCTAACAAACAATATTTAAACAGCAACCCTTAGGCAAGAGTGGTAGTGTATTAAATACTGTGGTAAGCAGTTCACAAATTTTAGGTTATTAAATAATTCACAATCACCCCTTGGAATAGTATTTTCACAATATACTCAATTTATAGATGAGATCTGCTTGCTAATTACATCTCATGTTCTCATTTTCCATCTTGGAATAAAACTATATTTTTTTGGTAGAGAAAAGAATAGGAAGGGGACAAGAGGGCTATGGAGGAAGGAATGAATATGATCCAAATAACAGATAGATAGATAGATAGATAGATAGATACATTGATAGATAGATAGATAGATAGATAGATAGATACATGCATACACACATACATGCATACATACATACACACATACAAATACAGATATATATGGTATTTGGATATAGATATGTATATGTACATATACAGACATATATTTCAGAGTGAAGTCATTGCTGTGCATAATTAACATATATAAATAAAAAATTTTAAAGGAAGAAAGGACAATTACTCCATAAAACTCAGGATAAGCACTGAAGATATGCTCCCACTGGGCTAATACACCAAATATCTGATATCCAGAATATAGCAAACAAACAATGTCATATTCAACTGTGTAAATGCCTCCATTTTTCAATCCTCCTTGGTTTGATTTTAAGAGCACTCTTCTCTTCATTCTTTCCCAGAGGAAAACTTGCTCTAAAAGCGTATTTGTTTCTTTGCTGAGACAGTTTCATTAGAGAGCCCAGGCTAGCCCTCTGCCTTTGCTCCCTCGGTATTACAAGAAAGCACTGCTACACCTGGTTGGGGTGGGGTGGGGTAGGAACCTTTTCAAGTGAATTGCCATGGTTGGAATTGTTTTTCCTATAGTCAATAGGTAGATTAGTGAACCTCTCTTCCACTTGTTATCATTTGGCTTTGTGAGGAAGCCGACTTTAAACACTCACTCTTTTCCCTGTATCTCATAGAACTACAGCTGAATCAATCCAAGAATAACATCCCAAGAGCTCGACTGAGAACTCTAAAGATGACAGTCGCCTTTGCCACCTCGTTTATTGTCTGCTGGACTCCCTACTATGTCCTAGGAATCTGGTACTGGTTTGATCCAGAAATGTTAAACAGAGTTTCGGAGCCTGTTAATCACTTCTTCTTTCTCTTTGCTTTTCTAAACCCATGCTTTGACCCACTTATATATGGATATTTCTCTTTGTAATGGGGAGACTGCACAAGAATGAATATAGAAGCAAAGTAACTAATTTCACCAGCTCAGAGTAAGCTCATAGCTTGCCACACACCTATATACAAGCAAGGCAGGGTTTAAGCTTAGGTTATCAACCTGGTTCCTGTACACAGTTTCTTGTCAGAGCCTCAAACAAAAGGAAAAGACCTTCAAAAAATACTGAAATGTGTCCTTAATCATGAGCTTCTAAACTGACCTCTGCCTTGTCTGAAGTTTTATCACATACGATTTGTGTTTTTCACTTCCTCCTTAAATAATCATCTATAAATATTTAAAATAACTACATCCTAAGGTTAAAAGATACCAAAACGTAAGGTTAGGAACCCAGAACATATTCATAACATCAGCATAGTTCGGGGAGTTTTTTTCCTTAAAGGGGCTCAGCAGCAATAGCAGACCGATGCTATCAGAACACCTACGGCACACAGAGACAGTAGAATCACATCCATACGTCAGCAGTAATAGCAGGCTGATGCTATCACAACACCTGGAGCACACACACACACACTAGAATCACGTCCACACACCAGCAGCAATAGCAGACCGATGCTATCACAACACCTGGAGCACAGAGATAGTAGAATCACTGTCCATCTGTCAGCAGCAGGAACAGACTGATGCTATCACAGCACGTATGGCATGGAGACAGTAGAATCACTGTCCATAGGTCAATTTTTGACTCCCATGATTAAAAGACCCGATTCTCTTTGGCTTGAAACACATTTCTATTCTTATTCAGCAACCAATTCCACCATCCTGGCAAAATTATTTATATGATACAGATTAATTCCATTCACATGCTGCAGATTAGACATACCACTACACAACAAGGTCTTTAAAGGGGATAGATTCTTTCATGGGCTATTAGAATATTCTATAGACTATACAACATATGGGGTTTATGTTAACTGACTGCCATGAATCCTGATTTAGTACAATTAACAAAATGCATATACTAATTACCTTGTAAACATAACATACAATCCATTTTTAATAATGTGGTGAGATTTTTGTCTATCTCCTTATCCTACTGAATCATTTCCCACAAATAAATGAGGAAAGCCAATGAAAGAAAGACATCAAGGAAATATACAAACAAAAAGAGGAGGTTTGATAAATAAAAGGAACTCAAGGTAGGAAACCATACGATTTCCCCCTATACACATCAAGGACAACAGCAGAGAATATTAGAGGGAAAAGGGAAAAATAAAACTGTAAGTGTGAAACCAATGCCTACTGCTAAAAAAAAAAAAAAAATACAGTTCCCATTTATGTCTGCAGAGTATCGCGCGTTTCATTCAGCTCAGGCCAGGCCCACCATTTTCATAAAAAATGGGAGGAGGTGAAAATAAAAGTGGTATACTACCCACTTGGTGGGAAAGTGTGAGAACTCAAAGTCACCAATTGTCTAATAGATATCGATGTGAACCGTGTAATGCTGCACAAGGCTGTGTGCGGTTACAGAAAGCAAACTACTGACCCATGGCAAACCCCTTCTTCCCTTCCCTTTCTTATTTTATGTTTGGGGTTTTACAGGACTGTAGGATATTTTTTCAGATCCCACTTTATTTATCCAATATTCTCTCTCTTTTTTATCTTCTGTGTTAATCACACTTTCTATTAAAAAAAATAACTGGTAGAAATCACTGATAGAGTTCTATAGTTCAACTGCGTGGAACTCAAAGTTTTCCATGTGCTGAAAGAAATGCTCAAAGTTTACATGTGTACTCATACCAAGACTGTGTAGATGACACAGGACTTAGCTCAGTCACAACAATACCAATGTACCCCAAGTATCTTCATAACATACTTACTCCTAAAATGATGATAAATCTTACTTCTGGATTTAAAGCAAAAATGATAGATATGGCCGGGCGGTGGTGGCGCACGCCTTTAATCCCAGCACTCGGGAGGCAGAGCCAGGTGGATCTCTGTGAGTTCGAGGCCAGCCTGGTCTCCAAAGCGAGTTCCAGGAAAGGCGCAAAGCTACACAGAGAAACCCTGTCTCGAAAAACCAAAAAAAAAAAAAAAAAAAAAAAAAAAAAATGATAGATATGTACAAGGTAAACCTAAGGGCTTTATTACATCTCTGTTTAAAATGCATGTCTCTCAGCTGGTTTCTTATGTGTTCAAGAAACTTTTCTAGTCAGGTATTGCCTTGGGCATTTTAAAGATATATTTTCTATATGGCTATCTAGATACAGTGATCCTTAACTTATGTAGCCCATGAATAAAATTATGTCAATGTATTTTTGTTTTAGTTCTGTTTGTATTATTTTAGACATTTACTATTACTATCCAAAGAAAGAATTTACCAACTAAGCCAGACTGCCAAAAAAGGTACAAAAAAAAGTTTAATACTCCCAGTTTGATTATATATATGGAAATTACTATAATAAAATGTATCTAACTATATTTGTTTGTTCACATATATGTTCATATACATGCACGCAAATGGTAATATTGAATCTGTATCACTTCAGTATGCTTAGTCATTCTTTTTTTTTTTTTTTTTTTCGAGACAGGGTTTCTCTGTGTAGCTTTGCGCCTCTCCTGGAACTCACTTGGTAGCCCAGGCTGGCCTCGAACTCACAGAGATCCGCCTGGCTCTGCCTCCCGAGTGCTGGGATTAAAGGCGTGCGCCACCACCGCCCGGCTGCTTAGTCATTCTTAAATGACAAAACTAAACTTGTTTAAGGTTCAATATGTTTGGGAAAATTTACAAGAAGAATTCTATGTCAATATTGTGGTTCATACATATAGATATGGATTTAAACGAAAGTTCACAGTGTCCATTTTAAACATGTCCTTTAAATGAAAGTTACATCGCGCCGGGCGGTGGTGGCGCACGTCTTTAATCCCAGCACTCAGGAGGCAGAGCCAGGCGGATCTCTGTGAGTTCGAGGCCAGCCTGGACTACCAAGTGAGTTCCAGGAAAGGCGCAAAGCTACACAGAGAAACCCTGCCTCGAAAAACCAAAAAAAAAAAAAAAAAAAAGAAAGTTACATCGCTCAACAGAGTATTTCAAATCTGATATTACATTCATGTACTGTACTACTACAAGAGACGAAGATTATTAGTAGAAAGTAAATGTCATGCCGAGTAAATCCAATATGTCAGATAATTAAGGAACTATCTTGGTTCTTTTATTTTACTTAGCCTATTGAACTTGTCATAAATTTCAGTTCTTTAAGTAATTCAGTTTCTTGAAGAAGTTAATCAGACTAAATAGTTAATTGAGCAAAGCTTGTATCAGTTCATTTTCAGACTGTTAGAGAGAACAATACCTTGTAGGATCGAGTAGTAAGAATCCTAAACACTCTATCTCAAGAAATATAAATAACAGGACTGAGTTAGGGATTCCCTTAGTGAGTCCATCTCAGAACTTACATGGTTCTCCCAAAGAAATTACGTTTTTGACATGTAAGATATTTTTAGAATTCATTTATTTTATCCATGGCCTGAATTTTTTTAATGATTTACTTATTTTTATTTTATGTATATTGATGTTTTGCCTGCATGTATATCTGTGTACCGTGTGTGGGCCTGGTGCCTGTGGAGGACACTGAGTCCTCAGGAACTAGAGTTACAGACAGTTGTCAGCTGCCTTGTGAGTACTGAGAATCAAACCTGGGCCCTCTGCAAGAGCAACAAGTATTCTTAGCCACTGAGCTATCTCCCAGTCCATCTGTGGCCTAAACACTGTCTCAGTGTTTACAGATTTAATTGCTCACAAAGAAAAAGAAAAGAAATAAAATAAAAGCCAACTTAATCTCTTTCTTATAATTAACTGAAAAAAAATCAAGTAAAAAATAGTCTCATTTTAGATGTTGATAACAAAATGCATACTTAGAAATAACAGGTATATGTGAACATTTTACATAGTTATTGTGACATGATTTAATTTTTCTTCCTTGTGGATGCCTAGAGTTCCAAAATCCCCAAATAAACTTAATACTGCTTTTATAATAGGAAGAAAACATAATATATTTTGTACACGTGAACAACTTTTATTTTACGCATCACCCTTTGTACTAAGATGTGCTCTACTGTAAGGAATGGAAATATCAAAGCAGACAGAAGAGAGAGCTCAAGAAGCAAATGCAGGAGGACTTACCACAAGTTGAGACCAGCCTTGGGCTACATCCTGAGAGCCTGTCCCAAAAAGAAGAAAGAAAGGGAGGAGGGAGGGAAGGGAGGGAGGGAAGGGAGGGAGGGAGGGGAGGGAGGGAGGGAGGGAGGGAAGGAGGAAGGAGAGAAAGAAAAGAAGAGAAAAGAAAAAATGAGAGCGGTGTGAAGACATTTCAAACCAGAAGTGGCATAGTCCCATCTCATCTCAGAACATGTCCAAAAGTAGGCATAGAAACTTTGAGTCAGATTCTTTGCTTACATTGAATTTTTTTTTTGTCCTGACTAGAAGTTGGCTGTCACCATTTTAAGTCTTAAAAGGCAGCTTCTCATTTGGGAACTCCCTTTACCAGGACCTCAGAATTTTATTCTGTATCAAACACTAACATGATCACCCCAAGCCAAAATCTCTAAAAAAAGGGGTGGGTTATCATTGATTAACTTTTCAAAACAAAATTGAAAGTGTAAATATTACAAATTTAAATAGCACAGAATTAAAAATACAGCATAAAGACTAAATGCTGCACTTTTACATACTAGTTGCATAACATACATAGCTTTAAAGAAAGGCTGAGAAATGACCCCACAGTTAAGAGTGCTTACTTTTCTTACAGGGGACCTGGGCTCTGTTGTGTGATGTTTTGTTTGTGTTCCGACAAATAAAACTTGCCTGGAGATGAGAGAGTAGACCTAGCTACTAGTTAACCGTAGAGGGTAGTGGTGGCTCTAGGAGAGAGCACTAGGAGAGAGGAAGTGATAAGGCAGGGCAGGGGAAAGGATCTCGGCCCTTTGGATGGGAGGATCTGGAGAGTTTAAAAAGTCACTGATGGCTGCTCCTCTGCTTCTCTGATCTTTCAGGTGATTACCCCGATATTTGACTGCTGGTTTTTACTGATAAGATTAATTAGGTTCGTGCTTCAGAGCTCAGTTCCTATCGCCAACATCAGGGGCTCAGAACCTCTTGAAACTCTACCTCCAGCAGATCTCATGCAATCTTCTGACCTCTCAGGGCACTGCATTCACATGCACACAGCCTCCCAAAGACACACACACACACATACATACACATAATTAAAATTTTAATACAATCTTTAGCCAGGGTTGGTGGCATAAACCACCTGGCATTCAGGGGGCAGAGACAGGGAGATCTCTGTTAGTTCAAGGCCAGCTAGCAAGTTCTAGGCTAGCGAGGGCTACATGTTAACATGGCAAAATTGACTAAAATAGCAACGTTGAACAATATCTCACCTTCATCTCCTACCATCCATTCCTCTATTCTCCTGTTGCCAATAACTTCAAGAGTTGTCTGCACCTGGTAACTATTCCTTCAAACCTCAACGCCTAATAAGTTAATCCTGTTCTTATTAATATTATTAGCTGAATATCACAACTAATAGTTTGACTTATCGTAATGCTCATTAATATTCAAATGAACATCCATCCTCTCTGAAAAGAACTCAGGTAGAGCGGTCCTGGGCTCTCTCTTGGTGAATGCTCTAGAACTCCAGTTGAACTGAAATGCGATGGGGGAAGAAACAAGAGGATCTAATTTGAAGGCGACCATCGGGCAAGAATGTCTGTAGAAGGTCACAGATCACTGCAGAACTACAGGAAAGCACAACTGGGAGGGGAGGGACGGGGAAGAAGGGAGGGAGGGGAACTTTAGATGGGATGTAAAAAATAAATAAATAAATAAATAAATAAGCAACAACCCAAAAAGCACAGCTGGTGTCTTAGCAGGAGCTACAATAACCTTATGGCATCGATTCCATGGTTTAAACAAAAGACTGTAGAGGGAAGTTTCTCTGTGTCCCACCCAGCCCACCTGCAGTTGGGTTGAATCTCTCCCACCAGCAGTCTGCATCCGTTTATAAAATAATTACACAGAGGCTTTATTTTATCTTTTTTATTTTATTTATTTATATTATTATTATTATTTGTTTGTTTTTCCAGACAAGGTTTCTCTGTGTAGCTTTGGTGCCTGTCCTGGATCTCACTCTGTAGAGCAGGCTGGCCTCGAACTCACAGGGATCCACCTGGCTGGGATTAAAGGCATGGGCCACCACTGCCCAGCTCATACAGAGGCTTTATTAATTACAAACTATATGGCCTATGGCTTCAGCTTCTTGCTAGCTAGCTCTTTCATCTTAAATTAACCCATTCCTATTAATCTATATGTTGCCACGTGGCCATGGCATTACCGGTCTGCTGGCATCTTGCTGCTCCTTCAGCAGTGGGCTGGTGTCTCTCCCAACTCTGCCCTTCTCTCTGTATCTCTGCTTGGATTTCTCACCTGCCTCTAAGCTGTCTTGCCATAGGCCAAAGCAGCTTATTTATTAACTAATGGAACAACATATATTGACAGCATACAGAAATCCATTTTTCACCATCTGGAGACCAAGAAATTAAAAAAAAAAAATCAGTGTCCAGCATGGCTGCATTCTTTTCAAGGTTCAATTCCTGGTTTTCAGTGGTCATCTCACATTATATCTTAACAAACCAGACAGAGAGTAACTTCTTTCCTTATTAGGGCACAGGAACAGTCCCATCATAAGGATCCTTTCAGGACCTTATCTGAGTCTACTCAACATCAAAATGCTACCTTATACCATCCAATTGGGGGTTCTTGGCCAACATACGAACAGCATGCATAAACACTAATCCTAGCAGAGTTGGACAACCATGATCAGTAAATAAATCACATCACCCTTCCCCAGAGCCTTGGTTTTAACCCTATCAAACAAAGTCCTCCCCTTTTTAGACATCTGCCCATCATCTATTGATTATTCACGGAAACAGTCATTGCCTCAAAACCGTACTGAGTTATTGAGTTCTCGTCTCAAT